GCCATAGAGGCAAGCAGCATCCGCACAAACTCACCCCCTAAAGGATTGCGACGGGCACGGTTTGTCAGATTTGTTGTTGGGATTTCAGATCTTATGGGCGGTTATATAAACACCTCGCTCGGGCCAAGGCGTGCTTCAGGGGCCTGGTGGCCGCGGGGGTACGGCCCTCTGAGGCCGAAATTGATTTTGCGCGCGCTGAAAGGGCTTGTGAACAGAGAGCAAGCCGTGCCCGTGGTCTAACGGATGACTTTGCAGAGTTCCCGCCCCGCAGAGTGCTGGGCCCACCCAGGGGACCGAGAGTGGTGGCCCTAGGAGCAAAGGTGGACGAGCCTGTCGCCCCCCCTCTTCCTCCTCCTCCTCCGCTCCCCCCCTTCTGCCCTTCTCCTCCCCCTGGGAGGCCCCACCGCTTCCTCCTTCATCTCTTCTCGGGGTATCGTAGTGAGGGAGACTTTCCGGAATGGATTGAAAAAATGGTTGAGCAATACAGAGTCCCAATTGTGGTCCTGTCTCTTGACATCGTTCACTGCTCCACTTATGGGGACCTGTCCAAACCTGATGTTGTTAGTTTTTGGATGAACTTGATACGTGACGGCTGGGTGGCGGGCCTAGTTGCGTGCCCCCCTCGTGACACGTGGAATGCTGCTGGTCATAATGAGGCTCCAGAAAATGTCCCAGGACCCCACCTCCGACCTCTGAGGTCTCAAAGCATGCCATGGGGGTTGCGCTGTCTCAGGCCTAGGGAACAGACCAAGGTCGACGTGGGCAACGCCCTACTACGTACCACTATAGAGTTCCTCGTTGAGGCTTGGAGGCTGGGGCTACCAGCAGTCATGGAACATCCTGCTCCCGCAGACAGCCGCCCGAGTGAGCCCAGCTGCTGGCACCTCCCATTCATGGCGCGTTTTGCTCGGATGCCTGGGGTCCATCTTCATCGTAGTGATAAGTGCATGTTTGGAATGTGGGCCAAAAAGCCGACTTCCATGTTGGGGATCAATGTGCCCATGATGAGTCAGCTGCTCAGGGAGCTACCACATCATGGGAGGTGTCGGCATTTCGCACACATATCGATCCGTGATAGTAGGGACGTTGGGAGGTTAAACAATGATGCCAGATCTTACCCATCCTCCCTTTCTCGTTTCCTGGCCATGTCGGTTTTCGCCTCGGTGCAGACACAATTTGACGCTCCTGGGGAACCCCCTCTGGCCGTGGACGGGGAGATCGCCCCCTTCCTTTTACCCCTCGATCCCTTCTTCGAGTTCCAGAGGGGCCGCGACCACGCTCAGCAGGGTACCAACCTCCTCACTCTATAGAAGCGTGGTGTGCGCGGCACCTAATCTCGCAGTACCCTAAGAGGGAAGGGCGCTTCTAATTGCGTCCTTGTGGGGTGGATTCTACTTCACCACCATGAGGGCTATTTTGCGGCTAGGGGGGTGCGCAGCACCAAAACTCTTGCTGTACTCGGGGGAAGGTATGTTTTTCGCCGACGTGTCGGCAGTACCCCGACTAGCCCGAATTTGTACCAGCACCTGGTGCTCGTCATTTTCCCCACCGACCGTGGTTGACCTACCTAAGTGTCGCGGTCTTTCACCACGAGTACGGGCTCGACTCTCAGTACCAGGACTGGGCATTTAAAGGGGCTCATAGTGGACTGGGACTGGGCTTTGTAACTGGGGGGGGATGTGACCATGTTTCACTGTTGAGGCCTGCACGCTGCCGCGATCGCTGCCTCCGTCTCTTTTTTCTTTCTGCTGCCGCTCTCGTCTCACACATCGATTGGGATTCAGACTCATTCCCTTAGTCACCGACCGACCGACCGAGGAGGAGGAGGAGGGGGAGGTGGAGGAGCAGGAGGAGGTGGACGAGGAGGAAGAGGAGGAGCGCCCAGCCCCTCCTGAGCCCACAAGAGTGGTGCCTGCGCCCCCGCCCTGGCTTGGCTCCGACGAAGCCAGAGGGGTCTCCTGCGGGACGGCGTGGCGACCTCACGCGGTGGCTCACGCGGGCCGCCAGCGCGGCACGTTGAGGCCGAGGGCGCTCACGCGCGACCTTGCGCGGGCAGCTCACGCGCAAATGTCGGCGCAAGTGGACCCGGTTTGTTTCGTCGCTCGCGTGAAGATCATACAGAACTTTTGGACGGCGTGTCGCCATGGCGGCCCCAGCGACGACACGCTATGCCTTGCGAGCGGACGGCGTCTGCCGCTCCGCTCCGCTCCGCGAGGCGGGAGGCTGGGATCAGCTCGGGACGTTGACGCTGGCGTTCGTCGCTGCAGGTGAGGCACACACATTCACCGCGCCTGGGCCCTGGCTGGGCCCGGCCAGGGGCGGTGGCCGAGCCCGCCCCTCTGGAGAGGAAAAGCAGACCGCATATATACACACACACATCTCTCTCTCTCTCTCTCTCTCTCTCTCTCTCTATATATATATATATTTATGCACAAACAGCCCGAACTCCGCGCGGATGGCTCGCATCGGCGCAGGGGCCCTCCCGGCGGCACCTCCGACACCGGCACTGTCGCGCGCGATCCAAGGCAGCCGCGCGGAGCTCCCATGAACTGCGTCTATGTCGTCGATCTGGGTCTTCTTCTGCCGAAGCGGGCCCGCACACTCTGGAGTGAGCTTCCCCCCCGACAGCGCCGGCGGGGCGACAGGAGGGGGGGGAGCGAGCCGTCTCGGTTGGGGCTTGGGGCCGGAGCTTTGACATGTCTGCCGACCGGGGGCCCCAGGACCCAAGAGGCGGTGGACATGTATCTCCTTTGGCCTCCTTGCTGATCCACTACCTTCAAGTGTCCTGAGAGAACGGTTCCATTAGACATGTTTCTGTAAACCCTGGCCTCGGATGGAGAGAGCTTCCTGGCTAGAAATCGGGCAGCGCAGAGTGACGTGCACCAAAGGCGGGCCGGCACGCTCGAGCTGAACTTTCTGCCCACTTCGCTTTCAACCCCACCTGCTGCCAGGAACGAGCCCGCACCCTCGGGGTGACCTTCCCCGCAACTGATGCCCAACACAAGGCAGGAACTTCTGCGCAGGGTTTCGCGGCGGCGGCCCCTGCGACACGCTATGCCGTACAAGCTGATAGCGTGTCGCCCCGCTCCGCGGGGCGGAAAGCTGGGACAGGCTCGCGACAACGCTCGGGGACTGGGACGCGGTTAGCGTTGTGGATGCCATGACACTGGACACCCTAACAGACCTATCCTTGAATTTAACGTGTTTAAAAATGTCGGGAAATGTTCTAAACATGCTTGTACATGTTATTTACGTGTTTAAGACATGTGTAACACATGTCTCAGACATCTGGAAATTATTTGGCAACATGCTTCCTCTCCATTGATCGTCCTCCACGAGGTCAGCGCGTGGCGCCGAAGCGTGGTGAGCTGGAGCCAGCCGTCCGATAGGACACGCCAGAGTTCACGACCGCAGCGGGCAACGCGAAGACCACCAGAAGCGAGCAGGCATGCGCGGAGCCAAATTTCAGCCGACGGCGCGGGGAGCGCGACGTGCGCCATATGTAGGGGGCCACATGCGAACCCTACCCCTACCCCCACGATTTCTGAGGGGGAGGGTGGGGTTCACTTCGTCCCGGAGCTCCCGAGCGAAGTGAACCCCACCCTCCCCCTCAAACATCGTGGGGGGTAGGGGTAGGGTTCGCATGTGGCCCCCTACGTATGGGAGCGGGCCGGCGCACGCATCCGTCTGGCCAACACGCCGGCAGCGCGAAGCGCACAGCGAACGAGCCGGCAAGCGCGCGGGGCTCATGGGGAGGGCACGGGAGACACCTGCGATGCAAGAAGTCCTGGTGTAATAAGTCTTTTTTTTCTCATCCGCTTCATGCATATCCTTGAAACTCACTCGTCCTCCATTTGTGCACGCCTCTGTCCGCAACCTAGGAATGAGCGCCGCCGAGAAAACTTATGCTTCTGCACTGCCGCGCTTGCACAAAATCGCCGCGTGAAACAATCACTTCTGGTGCACAACTATCCAGTCATGGTGTAAGAAGTCTTGGGGCGTTCGCCGTCGTCCTCTGAGGGCCCCGAGGTACCCCCGGAGGTTCTGCGGCAGGCCGGCGGGAACCAGTGACGACGTCCGAGCACCTCCCACCGAGGAGGAGGAGAAGGAGGAGGAGGAGGAGGAGGAGGGGGAGGAGGAGGAGGAGGAGGAGGAGGGGGAGGAGGGGGAGGAGGAGGAGGAGGAGGAGGAGGAGGAGGAGATGGGGAGGAGGAGGGGGAGGAGGAGGAGGAGGAGGAGGAGGAGGAGGAGGACGAGGAGGAGGAGGAGGACGAGGAGGAGGAGGAGGCCATCGTGGGATGAGAAGTCTCGGCGGGGCACCCGCTGGTGTGCCGATCTCTTGTTCGCCAGAGCCTCATGCAGGGGAGTGAGGGAGCTATCAGGCAAGCAGTGCGGGCCCTCCAGGTCGACACAGCTCGGGACAAGGACGTGTCTGGAGGCGGCCGCCTACTTGGATTCACGATCTCTCGTCCTCGTCGTCCTCCCTCCTTCCTTCCTTCCTTCCTTCCTCCTCCTCATCCTCCTTCCTCGTCTAAAACCTCCCTCCTTCCCCTCGTCCTCCTTCCTTCATTCCTTCCGCACGGCTTCACGAGACCCGCGCTGTCGGGACCGCGCGCCCAGCCGCCTGCCGCGGGCAACTACCCTTAGGCCAGGCGGATTTGGGAGGAAAAAATACCCCAATAATGCTCAAAAATAATCAGAAAAATGGTGGAAAAATCATCCCCTGACTATTGTTTGACTATTTTTGAATATTCCTCCTGTGGAGGGACAGCGCCAAACTCTGTGGCCAGCGTCTCGTCGAATCTTCGTGACGGCAAGCGGGCTGAGTTGTTTCGAGTCTAGGTTGCCCCTTCTCTCTGCTTGACTAGTCCAGGCAGTTGCATCGCTGATGGAACAAAAACCTCCTCCCTCTCTTCCCTCGTTTCTTCCTCCCCACTCCAGCTTCTGTTCCTCTGTCCCCCTTCCTCTTGGGGGAGGGGGAGGGGTGGGGGACAACTGGC